TAAGACTTTTTTTTAGGGATTTTAAACATATTTTGTTTTCATGTTTTTGACGCAAGCGGGTCTATTTTAATTGCCTTGAATTGGGCATATGTACACTGTTTCAATCTATATTTGGATTGGAGTCCAGAAAATGGGACCTAGTTTATGCATTAGGAAACTTTGGGCATCTTTGAAATTTGAATTTACGTTCAAACTCCATAGTTAATCTTCAAAAATATTAATAAATTCTGAATTCAAAAATCAAGGCGTTTCATGAAACTGGATATATATCCCTAGACATTATTTGAACTCGTCCACACGTGCATAATTTAGATCTGTGTTATTCTTAGACGTATGTGTAAGACTAGTGCAAATTAAAAATAAGGGGTGATTAATTCATGTCGCAAAGGAGTTTCATTTTGGATGTCTGGTTTAATTCTGGTGTTTGGACACCAAGAAGAATTTTCTTATAGCCGCCCGGAACATTATTGTAATTTAGAAAAAAAAGCTACTAAATTATGACGTTGCTTTCCTACACTCCATTTGTTAATGTTCTGGAATCTCAGGAACCACAGACACCAGAATTTAGATTTGAATAGTGCCAATATTTCTCAAATATCCCTCAAAATTGGAAGATTCCTATGACAGATCGGAGTCAATAAAGGTTTACATTGTCGCACGAGAAAATATTCAGGAGTGATTGTACAAATTTGTGTATTTTTAAGGGTTAACTTTTTAAGCTCTTTATGTCACGAGATTTTATGTATCACCTCTTCAATGATAAAAAATAAAATAAAATTTCAACATTTGAAGACCTTTTTATTCCTTCATTACAAATTGGTAACTTTATAAAATATAAAGAATATCGCTTTGCCGACAGGATTTATAATATCAAACCAGTTTGATATTTGTCACTAATCCGCACGTGGGAAACGATCAACTGGAGATTTTTGTCTCCCACAGACGCTCGGTGAAACTCTTGCCAAGACTAGTCGGCGACAAAAATCGCCGACCAAGACTGTTCATGTGCCCGCACCTTTACCTAAGCCAAGAAAATTTGTTCACATCCCGAAGACGATTCCATTATAAAGTCCACATTAGTAGTTCAAATGGTAATGAACAAAATAGCTGTAAGACTGGTTTAATACCAACTACCATTAATTCCATCCTATTGTGAAACATTGCTGAAGATGTTTGAATTAAATGAAATGAATGAAGTTTTACTTTTCTGTATCATGTGGGCTAATGAAGACGGTCAACGCCATACGGGTTGCAGTGAGGGATATTTTGCCAGGACAGCGGCATTAGCCTGCTCTTTTGCGATTTCCAACTGTCAAGGGACAAATTAACCTGTAGCACACGAGGCCTCGGTTTATTGTCCCATCCGATCGAATTAACTCTTTTTCAATATCACCCTCTCTTACCTGCATCACTTTCGACCTATGCTTTGATTGAACCCTGGACCTTCAGATTAGCGAGCAAGCGTCGAACTCACTGAGCCAAGATATTAAAAAAAACCACTGTAAGGGAAAGAACTCCACATTTCATATTAGTCTACCATAGACAGGACACAATCAGGTAATTCATTTGCCATCTGTTTCCATGTTAAATCTCAAAATTCCACCTTCTGTAACTTTTTCCGGAAAACTTTCCAATATGTCACATGAAATCCTGGCCAATGCTTTGTTCTTGGACAAAAATTCAATATATCATGACCGAAAAAATCTTGAACTAGCCAAAATGAAAGTAGACCTCTACATTTTATCAACATCCGCTTGACTGTCAATGCACATCAAATCGCTTCATTCAAGAATACAAGATGCAAGAATAATGGCCATATTGCAGTCAAAGTATAAGTTCGTAATAGCTTGATATTGTGAAGATTCAGATTCATGGATGGGAAAATAAACCTAGACCCTATTGCTGGTCCGAGGAAATGACACGCAAAAACGTCTAGTCGTTTGGATGGCAAAATAAACCAAGACCCCCCTGTCAGCGGTGTGGGTCCGATGGAATGACACGGAAAAACGTCTTGTTATTCGGACGGGACAATGAATCGAGCCCTTCTGTCAGTGATACTGGTTGCATGGACTGACACGGAAATACTTTGAGTTGTTCTGATGGGACAATACACCGATACAATACACTCTGTTAGTGATGCAAGTCAGGAGGACTAACATAGAACAAACTTCAAGCAGATGGACAATATGCATGGGTCCCCTGTGCTACATGCCTTGCACGTTAGGGATTGATTGGCAGTTGAAAATCCAAAATAAAGAGTAGGTCGTTCTCTAAGGGGCCTCCCACCCTCAGAAAAAAATGCAGGGGAGCATTATGTTAAAAATTAATTTCCAGGGTGAAGTGCCCCATCTCACTTAAAGTTCACGGGTCCCCACGAGTGTAGCCACTGCTTGTTGCCGCTGTCCTTATAAAATTTCTCTCATTGCGCACTGCAAGTCGTTGCCGCACTCGGGTGCAAAAATGTTAGGACTTAAAAAAAATTCAGCAAGTTCTGTAATTTTTTTTCTAATGATTTGTTTCATTTGTTGCCAAGGACAAGATTGCGACCTTGGTACACCAACATTAATACTGATGGATCATTTCGTAGCCTTGAAAGAAAATCGTGATCAATGTAAACGAATGTCAATCGTTATTGATGGGGCTCGTCGTAGTCTCTTTAATAAACCCATACCTGCTACCAATAGGTTAAAAAATATGCAAAATTTTCTGCATAGTCACTCTCCCCTATTAGCCCCTTTTCATTTCCCCCTGAAATTATTCCTATTTCGCCCCATCGTGTCAATGCCACGCCCCCATTCGTCATACTTCCTCGAGACATATCAAAACCCGCATTCGGTATACGATGATTTCGCCCCTTCTTCGTGGTTACACTAGGCCACATAAGAAATTATACTTTTACCGGGTATGAATTTTGATTTAGACCTTGAAACCTTGAAAAATTGAAACCTTGAACCAAGGTCCCGTGTGTATTAGCGCACATTTAGGAACCCAAAGGCAGTTGGAATTCGATAAAGATAAGCTGGAACATTATAGACAAATGGGAAGGGCAAGAATGGGAATAAGAGGCGAATTAGAAAGGGGCGATTTGTGAATAAACCAATATGGACATGCGCATAAAACTCGATGACGATTGGGACTAGGGAATCGAAACCGACACAGTGGATTATAGTCAAAACAGTGGTAATGGCGGTTACAGCTATAAATGATGGTTCAAAAAAAAAGTGGTGGGTCCTATCCTATATCCAGTTCCTTAGATGTGATATACGCAGTTTAATTAAAATCAATTTCATTCACTCTAATACAAAAGCTCATCGCTGGAGAGGGCAGAAATTTGATTGGTTAAAGTAGGGGTCATCAGGTTAGGTCAAAAGGTTATTGGGACGAATGTTCAAGAGGGCTGTTGTTCGACCCTGACCCTGGATATATTAAAAATAAAAGCTATATTAAAAACGAAACGAAAAATTTGATCTAATTTTAATGATACTGGTAAATACGGTAGTGGGTCTAGAACGACAACTATGGCCCTGTACTCACTTCCTTGGATGTGATATACAGATGTACATTGACGATATCGCAGTCGTATATAACGATCGGGAACTAGGTACATTGTTAAGCTGTCTACCCTGAACGTTCCACTGTATTATATATAAGCGCTCTGCAACATATCACGGTAATGAAAGGCAGCCATTGTTTACTGGAACTATCCACATATACAGCCGTTTTTCGTCCTGTTTTTTTGCTATAACCCATCGGCAATTTGTAAAGAAATCTTGTATTCCTCAGAATTACTTACAGAAAACCCCAAATTATCAAAGATACAGATTCGCCATTTTTGTGTTCAGAAGTACAGTACTAAAAGTGTAGAAAAATCGCATAATTCCTTCAAAAATACCTCATACTAGGGATTTCACTTTCTAAGTCTCAGGAAAAGACGAGTCGTCATTTAACTTTCAAACAGGGATAACTCTGGATACACATGGATTTGATGGCTCAAATTTCGACGGTGAGCTATGAATACTATTACTGATTAGCTTATCTAAAAAAAATTCCCGTTTGTGAGACTAAGATGCGATTGGTCGAAATGATGGCGAACTTGTCCCTTTAAATTTACAGAACGTGTACCTGTCAAAATATATATAGTTATAAAATAAATTACAATTACGAAATATGTTAAAATTATGAAATTCATCATGTAGTCCGAGTGCATTGAAGTCTTTTTTTATTGGGTTGATAGATAGGATAGAAATATATAATTAACATTTAAAGATCCACTCTTCCGTATTCTATTAAATTAAAAGAAATTGTATCTAAAGGCGTATGGTATATATTTTATTTTGTTTCTGCGAATAAAAAGGACAGATTCGCCAATTTCGGGGGTTGATTTGGGTCTTGAATATATAGCATTTTATAAGTGCTATAAACGAAAATGGTATAAAATGACGAGTCGTCATTTTAACTTTAAACGCGGATAATTCTGATCACAATTGGATTTGAAATCTCGCTACGCCTTATAATAACCTCGTATGCAACTGGCGGATAAATAGGACTATTTTGCCAGCTTAATTTTTGTCTCCATTGTTGACATTTAACTGGTCTCTAACACTCAGTCTTCAAGAGAGATATTTTGTAAAGCGGATGTAACTTCCGCTTAACAATTAAAGAAGATTCTCTTCCAGCTGCATACCTCGTATTGTCAGTCGTAGCGAAAATGGCCGCCGTAGATACGATTGGTTTCTGAGACTAGGGTACAATAATGTGATCAAACCGATGGTAAATCTGTCCCTTTAATACAACATTTGAATTAGTTAGCATAATGGTCCTTGTTCGTAGAGTCGTGATGCGAGAAGGTAGAATTACAAAGAAAACTCTTAACAACCCAATGCATCAGGTCTCGGTCAAAGTCCTCATGTTTCCTTCTTCCTGCCTCTTATAATCAGACCTCTTTGACGTTGATTTCGAACTGTGTCGGGATGCAGGTTTGACATGGCGAATCAGACAGGATGCAGACAGTCTCTTCATGGCTCAGTTTGCTAGTGTTGGTGTTCGCCAGTCCGGCTCAGTCGTCTGTGATATCCCGGAAAGGTCTGTTATTATGTGAGGCTATTGGCGAACCTTGTATCAGCTATGACCAGTATTCACCAATAGGTACGCGTAGATTTTCTCTTGGTGTAGATGGCTGTAATCGACGTATACACATTTAAAACTACTCGTATCACTTTTAAAAATCCGTCACCTTGTTTGTCTCCAATTTAAAGGGATTGTAAAAAGGTTTTCTAATTTTGTTATGTGTATCGGGGACACTGACAGCATCAATTTGCACCCTTACAATTTTCAATCAAATGTGTCTGTGGTTCCTACGATTCCAGTAAAACTAAGTATTTGATGACATCACTAATCACGAAGGGCCTTATAAGCATATTTTACGATTAGTGACGGCATTAGTCATACTGGAATTGTAGGAATGACAGACGTCTGATAAAAATTTGAATGGTGTGAATTGATGCCATCAGTGTCCCTGATACAGATACAAAATTTAGAAGAAAAAAGACAATCCAGTCGAAACTTTTGATTTGGAATCTATCTGAAGTTTATTTTGGGTACTTCGTTTATTTTAGGTCCTTTCTGCTGGATGACAATAGACAGAAGACATAATGAATGCTGTGACGAGTCTGGTATGTTTCAGTCTCCAATCAACATCCCTCCTCCCACTTCATTCGAATTCATACCTCAAATTCTTCGCTACAGCAGTCACAAGTTTGAGGGCAAGTGCGAAAACACAGGTAAGAATTTCCAGGCTGGACCTAGTCTATTTCCTAACCTGGGCGCCAGAGTCACGACAGAATTCAATCGCTTCAATAAACTTAGTCTCTGACGCCCAGACTATTCCTGTCTATGAGGAGGAATTTTCGTCGAGCTGTACGTAGACAAAGGGGGACTGGATGATAGAGGCTACAATAATCTTGGCAATATGAAAAGTTATATATGAATGATTAATATAAAATCAAAGATTTAGAAAACAATGTGCCATATTTCCAGTTGGATTGGATGCGTCAATAGTTATTTAGGACAAAGATTAGGTGCGCATTGTTTAACCCTGCGTTTTATATTCACAATTATTCTGTATATAATTTTCAGGGATACAACCAAGTTTAAAACGAGACGGCGAAGAAAAGGTTTATCTATTGGGTTTGCCCGGAGGCAGATACTTTATTGAAAACATTCATTTCCATGTGGGTAAAAAAGGGGAAAGACGACAGACCGAACATTTGTTAAATGGTAGAACTGCTGATGGTGAGGTAAGCGGATTCAGATTTGTTTGAAAATTGTTGAAAAAATGGTATTTTGTCGATCCTGTACTTGAAATATTAAAGGTATTGTAAAGAGGTATTCGAAAAAATATATATGTGTATCGGGAACACTGATAGCATCAATTTACACCATTTCAATTTTCAATCAGACGTCTGTGGTTTCTGCAATTCCACTTAAACTAAGTGTTTGATGACGTCACTAATGACGAAAGGCTTTATGTGATAAAGCATATTTTGAGCTCAAAATTTTTTTTCAATAATCCAAGGAGGCAGAAATCCAAGATGGCGGCATAAATTTGCGAGAAAATTAGAAATTCGATATATTGAGTCCCGATTTCTATATACATAGCTTGTATGATGTCGAACATGGGGTTTCCTTGATGGCCAAAATCAAATATGGCCTCAAAAATTAATTTTGATAATCCAAGATGGCTGAAATCCAAGATGGCAGCCACATTATCATCAATTCCTACTAGTTTGGGAATGAATCAAGGATATGGCTTGTTTGGTGTCTATCACAACCATCTAATAATGAAATGCAGCCAAGATTCATTGATGATGTCATAGTATTGATAATGTCATGATATAACTGGTATCCATGGAGACGTTGCAGCCGCCATTTGATTGTGCTATCTTTTTGGAAATTTTGAACTGAAACTACTATTCAAGTGAGTATGACAGAGAGGAGGAGTAGTGATTTGAAGAAAACCTTTTTCGGGGAAACTTATAGAGAAGAGACTCAATTTTTGATAAAATCCAAGCTTCAAAATGGTGTGCATGTCATTGGCAGAATGCTCTCACTGTGTAAAACTGTGCCTGGACGGAAAAACATTAGTAAAGAAGATGCAAGCTGTGTCGTTGCTGAGGAATTAAGGCAAGATTGGATCAGAAAAAATGTCTACCCAGCAGAAGAAAGGTCAGTCAGTCGAACTATTCTACGTGATTATTTAATGTTCCGAAATTTTAGAAAGGTGGAAAATCGATCTGATAGAAAGAAGACACTGTCATGGTTGGAAAAAGCTGGCAAATTCAACAACCGCATGAGAAATCACGCCTATGATATAAGGTCCAAATCAAACGAGTACGATGGGCAGCTGGCTAAGGAATATGGCGTGCGAATGACGATGGAAGACCAGGCATTCTGGTATGATAATTGCTACGGCGACTATGTAGCGACCTCAACAAGTATCATCCCGCGAAACTGGTCGAGGAATAAAAAGAAGGTGTTAGACCATGAAGAAGCGATGAATATAAAACGATCCAAAATGAACGAAGCGGTTTCTGTTACATATTCAGGTGACAATAGTGAAATTCTAATTCCTGATGATGATGATGATGTTGATGTTGATAACGATAATGACGACGACAGTAAGTATGAACATTACATGTCCGCATCAGATCTAAACAACAACTGTGATGAGTCTCATGTGACCCGATCTGTAGAAGAACCAAATAACAAAACCAAAAAACAGTTCCCATCAATTCAAATCAGATCCGGCCATAAAACAATTCACGAACCACTGATGCGCTGTCTCGTCCACTGTATCTCAGAGAATAAGGTCACTACTAATGACCTGATGGGAATCACTGTATCGATAGCCAACACGATATTTGATCAAAACTGGGAGTTGGCCGGAGCATCTAGCAACACTGAAGTGTCTGAAGACCTGAACGATTGTGAATGTGACCTTAGTGGGGATGAAATGGATGATCCCAAGAAGAATCGTACAGCTCGTGATCTCACCTTTGTAATGCCTAGTAGAAGATGCCTAGCAAACTATGTTCAGGATGCATCGTGCCTGAACTTGGAGATGGTTGCCCGACACCTACTGAACAAAGGCGATGATGTCATTACCGTTGGGCTAGACGATACAACAAAGGTAGCCGGACACAAATTATTCGATATCAAAACTGACAGTATCACAATCACACAAGCCTCTGGCGAGAAAAGGTTGCTCACAACAGGTTACCTTGAAAACGCTTTACATGCTGGCAAAGCAGGGGCAGAAGCTTACAACTTCAAACTACAGTGCCTCGCTATATTAGCTGACTCAAGTGTTGATGAAATAAAAAGCAATATTCACTTCTGGATGACGGACCGGGCAGCTGACTGCTCAAAGATGTTGACTAATCTCGGTATTGAGCCAGCAAAGCTTCTGAAATGCTGCGCCCATCTACTTCTTTGTATTGATCACAGTATCGATAAGACTTTCAGAGACACATAACAGAAAATTGGCTTTGACAAACTGATTAACGCATCCAAGATACTACACTCTCCTCCATACGCTCGGCTTGATCGCACTGGCTAAACTGATGTCACCTAGCCATGCTTCTCATTCTGTGTCCTTATACAACCAATTCAAGGAATGGCTCGCTAATAATAGACTTGATGCTGCTTCCTTCATAGGCTTCCAGCCGAATCGCTTTGGCCGAATTTTGGAAATCGGAAACGAGTACCTAAAACACAGAGATGCACTCAACGCCTTCTTCGAGGCTGTGGTGGATGAAAGTGCAAACAAACTGGTATTAGCAGTACATACCTTTATTTCTAATCTATGGTTCATTTGTTGCAGTGAAATCTACTCCCTCTTAGGTGAAATTCTAATTCATCCTCTATTGGAGTTGCTGGAAATCGATGGTCGTTGTCCAGGAAAACAGAGTTGGACAGATGTCAAAATCTTCTTTGATCAGAAAATACAACATCTTCAAAAATTACAGGTTCAATTCTCACAGACCGTAACTGGTAAAGGAAGCCTGATCGGAGCCATATTGACAGAAGTTATTGAATCACTCAAACGTCAGCTCAGAAATGGACTTTTTCCAGATCCAATCAGCAAAAACTATCATAGTGAATTTAGAAAAGCTACAGCTTGCTCCACTGCACAACCTCGCATGTGAATCCAGATTTGCTAAACTCAACGATGAAGTTGCAGCTTCTGGTGGCATGACCACAGTGAAGACCCATTCAGACAAAAGCTTTATTTCAACCAATGGTCTTCTAATCAATGAAGAATTCACATCATTAGATGAAACTGAAAAGCGCCTGAGATGGAAGTGGGGGCGAACATCCCAACCGGTCCAAGATGTGAAATAGTTGGAGAAAGACTTCTTGGCGACCGTGAAAATGGCAAAACGGTTAGCACTAGTGAAGAAAGACGAGCTGAAAAGAAAACGAAACGAAAAAATGCTGAAGGTTTTGGAGTCATGCAAGACACATGGAGGACCAGTAACACCGACAACGATTAACCTGCTTGACAGATTAACCGAGAGTCAACTCATCACCGAAATCTGCTATATACGTCTTACAATCTGCCCAGATATACACCAAAAACGACGAATCAAATTACCAAATGGACATTTCAAATTTCAAACATTCGCCAAAGCAGAACTCAAGCAAACCATCATTCCCGTTATCAAGCCCTGAAATAATGTTGTGGAGAATATTGATGAACTCGTTAAAGACGCTCTTAAATATCATTAGTTTGGTGTTGAATATGAATATGAAGTGTATTGTATGTCTTGTATCAGATTTTCTTTTTTACTGTTAATTTTGGTCGCCATCTTACATTTCTGCCATATTTGATTATTTGAATTTAATTTTCCCACCATCTTGAATATCTAATTTTACTGCCAATTTTGGCCGCCATTTTGGATTTCTGCCATTTTGGATTATTGAAATAAAATTTTGAACTCATATTTGACTTTGGCGACCACGAAAACCCCATGTTAGACACCATGCAAGCTATGTATTCAGTGATCGGGACATAATATATACGATTTCTAATTTTCCCGCTAATTTTGGCCGCCATCTTGGATTATTGAAATTAATTTTTGAACTCATATTTGACTTTGGCGACCACTAAAACCCCATCTTAGACACCATACAGGCTATAATGTATATAGTGCAGGGGACATTAAGTATAAAATTCTCCATTATTTCCAACAATTTCGACCGCCATTTTGAAAAAAGGCACTGCACCACCATAAAAATTTTATTTTTATAAAAAAATCTTTCTGATTCTAAATTTTCAGCCAATTTGGCATCAGAAAATACCTGGCGTTTACAAACTTATATTATTGTCCCACCCCTATTTGCAAAAGCCTCTCCTGCACCCAAACTGGTGCCATAAAACTTATCCCACATAATGTGGTTATTTATCTTTTCAGGCTCACATTGTTCATGTCCGAGAAGATTTTGAATCAGTTCGGGAAGCGTCTAAACATCCTGGTGGTCTTCTGGTCATCTCAATTTTCTTATCGGAAAGATTCATCATCTCCTCGTATAGTGGAGAACCAGGTGTTAGAAAAGATCCCGGAGAACCGAAATTGTCACCCTTGTGACTTACTGTTTTTATATGTCTGTTATTTTCTGTCATTCAGGGGCGTATCTAGAAAATGTCTGAAGGCAATGGATTTCAGACAGCAGGAGAGGAATTTTGAGAAATTTAGAGGGCTTAATTTTCACTTCAAAAAAGATTTTTCATGGGCGTGGGGAGAGTGCCATTGACCAATATCCACCCCAAATACACTTTCATTTAAATTTTATTTAAGAGGGGAGTAAATCATTTTATTTACTAACCATAGCAGAAGGACGTAAAATTTCATTTTCTTTCTATTTCCAGACAGGTAAAGGTAGAAGCAGTGAAGCGTTTGATACATTAATCGAGCTGTTACCTGCAATAGTCGAATTCGAACAAGGTAATACACCTGCCGCATTTTGTATCTTATCCTCGACTGTTGTCGCCCATTGAGCCAGGCTACCCCAGTCTCGGGAAGCTGCCATTTAAGCCCCCCGGCGGACAGGGACCTTTCGAGATGGTTTTGGTGTGCAGAGTTTCAAGCTTTTGTTACCTTCAGATTTCAACTGTTAGCATATACTGTACATGTATTTCCTAAAAATAGCCATGGTTTCTCACATTTTTTCTTAAAATATATTCCAGGAGCATTGGACTGACCGGGATTTCTTTTAAGTTAATATTTTTTTCTGGGGTGGGGGGCTCCTTAGGAGTAGGGGCCCGTTAATTGGTCCAACTAGTCCCTGGTAGTTGAGCCTCTGTCCTTTAGCAATCGTGATTGCATATCAAGAATACCTTTTACTGACGCTGTATCCACTTTATTGTTGTAGACAGCCCGTGTCAGAATGACATAGAATCACCGACACCGACATTCTCCGAAGAATCAAGTGAGTCTGAGTCCAGATCGGAAGATTCTGATGAGTTAAAACAATCAGAAAGAGGATCCAGCCCTTTCCATACAGATTTTAAAAGATATTTTAGTAATTCCACAAGACGATTGTTTAGATCTCACAAATCCAGAAGTTCTGCTGCTGATTCAGCAGTTTCGTCGGCTGATTCCGGAATGTCGTCGAATAATTCTGGTGGAAGTTCTTCGGAAACGTCAGGAAGTTCGTTGGATGATTCCTGAAGTTCATCGGATAATTCCGGAAGTTCATCGGATAATTCCGGAAGTTCATCGGATAATTCCGGAAGTTCTTTGGATAATTCTGGAATTATCGGAGACGGGAAACGGAGATCTATTCGAGGAGGGAATCAACCAGCATTCCGAGTTACATACGCTGAAGACATTAAAGATGCTGCCAAGGAGAAAGTTGGAGAGCACTACAACCTCTATCTGTCCAATGGACTTTGTGGTAAGTCATGGGCATTGCCTTGCATTGGATCGCATTGCCTCCACTTCTAGCAACCCCAACTCCCTGTAGCTACGGACCTGATTGTCTGTTAGAACATATTTCCCATTTGGCTCCATGTGTATATTCAGAACTCTAAACCATGCTATGTTTTAAAAGTATTTCCCCTTTCAGGTGATGCTGTACAACCTATCATCGATCCAAACCACCTTCTGGCTGATACACCTGTGTATTATCAACTATATGGTGGATTGACTACACCGCCCTGCTCAGAATCTGTGATTTGGTTGGTGGCTAAAGAGCCTAGACGAATTGCCAAATCTTATGTAAGTTAGTTTTTACTGACCGCATATAGATTCGCATTCTACGGATTCCGAACGTCGTAGGATTTTTTTGCGTGCGATGCGAGTTCGTTGACGCGCCTGATATTTAGCTGACTAAGCTTCTATTAGGATCACCCCATCGTATCACGAATACGGGTTCTGACATGTTCCGGGGAAGTATGACGAATGGGTGTGGTTTGAACACCTGCATTGTAGCCTAGAGGGCATGTCGGAACTAACATTCCAGATATTTCGTGATCACTTTTTTTGTCACAAGGCTTTAGCGGATCATTACAAACTTACCGTTCTCGGCAAGTTGTACAATGCGTTTAACCAGTAGTGACCCCAGCCCCTCTAGACATGGGGTAAAAAAAGGGACCAGATTGATTTTCTACGGGTTAATATTCACATGCGGCAGCTCTTTGGGAGCCCCAGGCGCAAGTGTCTGAGAGGGTTCTTTCCCAACAAAATATATTTTTTGAAATATAGAATTGATATAGTGCATTCTGACACATACCTTAAATGAATATTGCAGTACGATTGGGGTTATAAACCATCTTGCCTTTTTTGTACTCCCAGCGCCATTGGCTTTTACCTATATTAGCTTGAAACTTTCGAATTCACGTCGTTAATTTTTCAGGCAGACCGTGTACGTGCATTAAAAACTCAAAGGAGAAAATATTGGAAGATTCGGTAATTTGCGGCCCTTACAAGAGGTTGCTGAACGAGAAATCCGACTGGTGCAGTTTTCACAAACTTTCTGGCTTTAACCCTGGCCCCGACCTCCCGGCATGAAATGATAATGGACTGTAAAGCGGTTTTCTAGATATTTCAAGTGTATCAGGGACACTGATAGCATCTATTTGCACCGTTCCAATGTTCAATTAGACGTCAGTTGTTCTTACAATCCCAATAAAACTAAGTGTTTGATCGTGAAGCACTTTAGTGGAATTGCAGGAACCACAGACGTCTCCTGTCAGAGATAAACTTTTACAGGGGACATATGTGGTCATAAATGGCGGAGCTGTTCCTTTAAAGTCATGAATTGCATACGATTAAAACAGTAGTCTACCCCGGCTGACGCCTTGAAGGTGAAACTCGTGGTACAGATAAAATGATTTATTTGACCCAAAAAACAAGATATACGATTGATCGTTCTTCTTATTATAGACAATTTTATTGTCAAGTTTTTAAATATACCTGTTTTATGAGAATTGTTATACGCCCACGTGGAAAGGGGGACGTATATTGCCGTCGCCCCTGTCCGTCGGTCCGTCAACATTTCTTGTGAACACAATAGAGACTACAGTTTTTTTCTGATTTTAATGAAACTTGATGTGATAATGTGTATTGATGAGATCTTGGTCAAGTTCGAATTTGACGATTTTTCGATGAACGGTTTTTAAGTTATTGCCCTTGACTTAGGAAAAACGTTTGTGAACAAAATAGAGACTACAGTTTTCAACTGAGTTTAATGAAATTTTTATGATGAATGAAATGAAATGAACTGAGTTTTACGTCGTTTTATTTATATTGATGAGATCTTGGTCAAGTTTGAATTTTCAACGATTTTCACTCTTAACAATTTTTTGCCCTTGATATTACATCTGTGTGATTTTAATAATTTGTTGTATTTGGGATATTGATATCGATTTTTAAAAATTTTGTGGAATTACTTAGCATAAATAACTGGCAGTAAATATATACATCATTGAATTCAAATTATAAAATTTCTTTATCTAAAAAATTCATACTTTAGTCACTTAAGACTGTTTTTTTTCATTTCTGACAGCTGCCAGTGGGAGTATGTTACCTTGCCGGCAAGCTATCTTTTCAGTATTTCGGCATTTACACTTTGATCGATGCCTCTACACTTTCCTTACAGTTCCATTTTGAAGATTTTTTAAGGTTTTTCTTGCCAAAAAACCAGACCGACATTTCATTTTTGATGGATAGTACGGGTGGTGCTTGATCGTTAAAATATTTTGCACACCTCCCGCTAGTTTTACATAAGGAAGTCATCTATCTTTTTGGATAGACTCAAATTCACCCGTTACGCTTTACAGAAAGAGACAAAACAGAGTACAAACAATTTGTGTAGGGCAGAGGTTCCCCAACCCTTTTTAGCCTTCACACCCCTGGAGCAATCACCTTGATCTTTCACACCCCAAAAAGATTGGAATGATGAAAACTGCATGATGCTATCAATGTTACCGATACACATACAAATTTTAGAAAAACCTCGTTACAATCCCTTTAAATTGGTTATATAAAGAACTAATGATGGATCGATCTTCCAACTTAAAAAAAAATAGAACGAAAAAGGAAGCTTTTGAAGCCATACACTCTAGAAAATTGTTGCTGAAATAGCATATTTTCCAGAATTTAACCTGTGTCTGATGCTAATGTGTGAACCTCATTCCAAAAGTTTATAAGAATTGATTTTTATTATACGCCCACATCTCTCTATATGGACGTATATTGTCGGCACCCCTGTCCGTCCGTCCGTCCGTCAACATTTGCTTGTAAACGCTCTAAAAACTATATTTTTTTGATGAAATCAAATGAAATTCGGTATGTGTATACATATTCATAAAACAAAGATCAAGTTCGAATTTGAGCTATTTTCGACTGTTAGAAGCAGACTTATTGCCCTTGTTCCAAAATCTTGAATATTTACCATCTGTATGGTAGACGTGGGCGTATATGGCTGTGGTCCACTATCTTTTCTATATGTTCGTTAAGTAACTTCACTGAATTTTTTATCCGATAATTACATGACTGTATCCCTTAGAATATTTTTGAATAAAATACGTATCTATCAGCCGAAATCAAACGAATTTCTACGTCCTACTGTCCTAAAAGTAAAACATACCAAGAGAAGTATTGGCCAAGGTCACGATTGTATCTGTTTTTACTTAAAGGGATTGTAAAAGGGTTTGTTGAAAAATATATTTGCGGGGGACACTGATAGCATCATTTTACATCATTCCAATTTTCAACCAGATGCCTGTGGTTCCTGCAATTCCACTAAAACTAAGTATTTGATGACGTCACTTATCACAAAGGGCTATATGAGATAAAGCATATTTTGCGATTAGTGACGTCAGCAGACTATCAATATTATATGATACGTATTTACTCACTGGACTGTGCTTTGTTGTGCTCATGAAATATCATATGGGAATGTCATGGTCTAACATAATTATTGTGGTCTTAATATATCATGTCTGTACTAAGAGTTATCTCCCTTGAGGAAAAAAGCTGGCTAGCCTAAATAAAGATGGAGGTCTTAATTACTTTGAGTGTATTTCTTTTTTGAATAGAAGCCTGTACGCCAGTAGACAGTAAAACAGTGTCATATTATATACAGAGGAACATAAACCGGGCGTTAGATTTTCATTTTGAAAAGTAATACGGTTAGTCTCTTTTTAAGTTATTTTATGAACCACATAATTAAACCACTAGGCCTATACCACAACCCTAATAAGGTTGATTATATAATGTTAACAATAGAAATGTGCTTCTTAAAAGGATTGTAATGACGTTTTCTAAATTTGTTATATGTATGGGGGGTACTGACAGAATCAATTTGCATCATACCCAATTTTCAGTCAGACATTTCTGTTTCCTACAATTCCACTAAAATTGAGTGCATCATGTTGTCTCTAAATCTAATCGCAAAATAGTTTTCATCACCTTAAGTTGGCCCTTTGCGATTAGTGACGTCATCACATACTAAGTTTTAATGGAATTGCAGGAACCACGGTAGTCTGATTGAAATATGAGGGATGCAAATGGATGCTGTCAGTGTTCCCGATACACATACAATTGTTTCGAAAACCTCTTTACAATCCCTTTAAGATAAGACAGTCAATATATTTTGTTAGCTCAAAAAATATCATATCTGATTCAAAAATAGAAAAAATTTTCGCATTCTTTTTTTTTTTTGTCTTATATTTTAATATTTTTAACTTGCGACATGATTGATGGATTCAGTGATTATATAAGAAGTCGAGAGACACTCAGAAATCATTCACAAGTCTTGTAGTGTTCTGCTGATATTTCTACCTTAGAATTGTCAGCAAGATGAAACTGCAAGGAGCTGGTTGTGTCGTTGCTGCCGTACTCGGTGCCCTGTTTATTGTCAACGTTGAGAGTCACTTCCATAAGCCTGAGCTTCAGCTGTGTAAAGCTTTTGGTGAACCCTGTATCAGCTATGATGTCAGGTCTACAATAGGTAAGATAGTTTTAATTTATCATTGAAATGGAATGGAGTTTTATGTCCTGCAAAACTGCTCCAATTTGTATTTGAATGTAGACGAGCAGTGTACAATGATGGAATTTGCACTTTGTTTATTTTGCATTGCTATCCATCTTGTTTTTGCTTAGATCGAAACGTTTGCCTCTGATAACTATTTTAAAAAGTTGTATGCTTGTCTAGAGACAGAAAAACTAGGCAACGTTTGGTGGAAATTGTCCGCACCTGCGAACTATAAATGGCTGGAATAGACAACATGTAGCTACACTTTCACTTTGTACTCCGCCAATTTTGCGTTTTAATTTTAGGCCCACGTTGTTGGTTTAAGTTGGAGTTCCCAAGAGAAAAATGTTGTAACGAAAACGGAAAACGCCAGTCACCAATTGATATCCCCGATGTTAAGAGTATCTACAAGGTTCCACAAAAGCTCAGATATTCTAGTCGCAAATTTGTTGGCCATTTGGAAAATACCGGTAAGTCCGAAATATTCTTTCTGCCTCAATATTTTGTTTCGTTGATTATGATGGTGAACATCGTATCCCGAGTAGGCTACGGGTTTTGACGAAAGGGGGCGTTGTTTGTGCACGATAGATGGTATAATGCCTCAAGATACAAAAGTGTCAAGGGAAACTTCAGATTTCTCGATGATGAGTTTGTTTTCAAACCCATTTTATAATTCCTTTTAGGCGAAGGAAAGGATATATGGCTTCTGTGTGAGCTATTATCCAAAATATGAACGGCAAAATGTATTGTGGATTGTCAAAAATTCCAGATAAAGAGATTTCCGGAGGCTAATTAGTTAATTATTTCCACACGTTTCGAAACCGTCCGTTAACTTATTTCAGGAATTCAGCCTGCATTTAAGAGAAAGGTGGGCGCCGATAAGGTCTATTTGGAAGGAATTGGAAGTCCAGTGGGTAAACGATATTTTATCGAGAATGTCCATTTCCATGTTGGTGTCAGGCATAAAGAAAGACAGACTGAAAATACATTGAATGGTAGATCTTTTGATGGCGAGGTTTGTTCTTTTTAATTTGGGAAAAATTTATTCAAGGACTGAAAAGAAGGACCATATCTTTCAAGGATCCTTGCCCTTTCGATCCTTTAGACCAGCTAGTTTTTGAGGATTCCGTCTACTAGCTAGTTCTTGAGGATTCCGTCTACAAGCTAGTTCTTGGGGATTCCGTCCACCAGCTAGTTCTCTTGGTCTCCCAACTTGTTTAGGCTCCAGCCACCTGATAACTGAATTCATAAGACAAATCACAGTCAAGGCATAAGACTATGTTCGTATAAGCTTGACATTGGGAATTTAAGGGAAATGGGGGGTCGGAATGTACGTAAGTGAGAGGCAAGTGATATTTGTACCGCCCTCTCTCACTTTATTCTGTGATTCCGCCGTCCCAGACTACATACCATATACAAACTGTTTATTTTTTGTTTCAGGCCCACATTGTTCACATACGAGAGGATTTCGGGGATTTAAAAGAAGCCGCCAATCACCCACAAGGTCTCCTCGTCATCTCTATTTTCTTATCGGTAAAGTCATGTCTTTTTTTTATAGTTAGATAGCTAGAACTTTACCTGTAACATGTGGCTTCAGCAATCAAGTGCGCATCTAGCAAATGCCTGGAAAAGGGGGCCAAAAGGAGATGTGTCTCTCCTCTAGGCTATGTTTGAGGCTGCAAATGCCCTCCAGGAGCCAGTTTTTAGCCCTTGAATGGCTTATTTTTAATTTCAAAATTAGAACTAAAGACCTGGCCCAATAGCCCTCTCCCTAAATACGTTACCAGCTAGAGGCTTGTCGTCACAAATTTCAAGATATATCTTCATTTGATAATTTGCCTTCAATAGCCACTTTTTGTACAAAAGAAGTTCGAAAATGCAGTGATTTGATTGGATTGCGCGATGGCGAATAAAGCCAATCTGAATCCTCTAAGACTGTAATAGACCTATATGACTTTTTGTTTACATCCTTTCAGGCGTGAGCTTTGATTGGCTAGCGTACAATCCAATCATGTAACTGCATTTTCAAACAAGCTTGTTACAAGAAAAGTGACTTTTGAAGTCAAGGTATTTGATGAAGTTCGTAATACATGGACTTTGATATACTGAAGATGGTATTTACATACTTTCTTCTGAAAAAACTAATGGTGTATTCTATCTTTAGACTTCCAAGGGAGAAAGGAGAAGAGACGGCTTTGATGATCTGATCGAAATGATCCAGGATGTCCAGGAATTCGAAGAAGAGGGTAAGTCGGTTTTATTTTTTCCTGTCTAATAGTTTTTGGTATAATTAGTCCATTACTTTGCTTACACAATTAACAATTATCTCTCAATATGATTAAAAGAGATTCTTTTTACGGATTGATACACCTGCCATCCATGATCTGACCAGTTTTTCTGGCTAGAGCGTTCACTGGAGTTCTTACTGGATAACGTCAAATTTTTTCATGGTAATAAGTGTGTTTAAAGTTGAAAACATAAAACGAAATATACAGGTCTGCATTTCAATAAAAACTTTTAAATTAGAATTCAGCTTGTCTTAACGGGACAAGTTCGCCATCGTACCCTAGTCTCGGAAACGGGAATTTTTAATAAGCTAATCAGTAATAGTGTTTATAGATCACCTTCCAAATTATTGCTTTTAAATATATGTATGCCCATAATTATCTGCAGGTTAAAGATGGGTTTCATTATCTTTTAGTGTCAAATTAAGCAAACTATATGAATTATCATGTATTCTTAATCATATCATTATGTTCTTATTGCATATAATTAAGAGTTTTAACCAATCAGAAATGTGCATGTATGTACAGTCTGGATAAACAAAAAAAAAGACTTAGACCGTTCTTGATCGGTCCCTCATTGGAATCCGCTTGTAATTCTCTTCTAATTTAGCTAATTATGAATTGATTATGGACATGCGAGACAAACTGGTATTTTTCATTAGAACACCTCTACTTTCTATTCATATATATGAGTATTAGCATTTTCATTATTTTCCAAATAAGAGAACCCATCTTTAAAAAGACGACTCATCTTTTCTATTTTTTTCAATTTCAGACGGTCCATGTGCCAATGTCAAGATACCTGATATCTTCAAATTTAAACAGTTAATTCCATTCCACCCTGTTTGGCCAATCTGCAAAAAGACTTTTCCCGTTGCCGATGATTCGGATAACAGCGGATCTGGTGTTGTATGCAACTTTTATTTACCTAATGGACTATGCGGTGAGTTGGCTTGATACAGTCCAATCTAATTTAAATTAGATGACCGTTTCTTTTTTCTGATATTTTTTATTCTACATTGCAATCTAACTAGATAAGTACAAAGGCCGCATTCTTGTGATGTTCACTTGGACCAATCATAGCGTATCATGTAGAATCCGTATCCGACTATAATGAAACCAAAAGTAAAGCAATATGGCTGCTTTGAGTTTCGTTATCCCACCCACAGTCGATGTTTGAGCAAGTCAATTTTTGCCAGTCAAAGCGACCTTTGCACGAGAGGGGTTTCCTGTACTAGTATAATATTAACAGTTTCCGTACATGTGTCCGTAAATTAAGAAAACAAACCGGGAATTGGCCACATTATAGGTAGGCTATTTATATCTCGTTTCTACAGGCGTTTCTATGGGTCAAAAGGTGGAGAGTTGGGGTTGGCAAGGGCCACATAATTTGAAGGGGAGCACACAGCATCAGGTACTAAGGAATTCAATGATATGAAAGCAGTGATATATATAGGGTGGGGACATGGGGCCCCTCTCCTCTCGGGCAATAAAAAAAATGAAACATTTATTCTACTGTAACTTCTAAAATCGCGTTAGGTGTATTCCGCTTACCTAGAATAGAAAATTTGTAGTTTTGTAGCCTACATTGTGGGTTTTTTGGCTTTTAAAGATTGTTCTGTACATTTGTATATTGTTGTATATTGTATTCTTGTATATTTGGTTTTGTAGGTGAAAAAAAAGAATCCAAAATCAACCCAAATGAGTTACTGGCCGATGACCCTGAATATTATGTTTTCAACGGCGGTCTTACCACTCCACCTTGCTCAGAATCTGTTCTCTGGTTGGTTGCCAAGCAACCACGCAAAGTATCAGTCTTCTATGTAAGTTGGCTTCTGGGGGTTATTTTATTATTTGAATTCACCTAATTGCACGCTACATAGGTCACAAAAGGGAAAAAGATTTTTAATTTGACTGCGTGTCAGTAATGCATAGCACGTCTTCTCTAGCACAAAACATTGATTTGAGGTTAGCAGGAAGGCTAAAAATGCCCGCTTTGTATTTAGCACCACAACTCTTTTGACATTTCAGCCTTATGTAGTAAGAAATATGGAGACTCAGAGAGAGGGTGAGATCATCGGAGACTTCGGTAACCTTCGTCCACTACAAGACTTAAATGACAGACCAGTTTTCCTGGTGAGATTTCGTTTGAAACGCAATTGGGAGCATGGTGACACTGCTGCCAACGATAATGATGCAATGGACAGTCCATTTTCTGTACTGGGCATTAATTAAATGTTTCTTCTAATTGTTGAAACATAAATGTACGGTGTGTTATTTCTTAAATATTGATAATCTGGTTCTGGGTCGTCAATAGAATGGGGTGTGGAGATATGACCCTGAAAATTGCAATCTTCTAGGACCACACAAATAGCAGTGTTTTGTCCAAAATTGTGAAACTAATGTCCCAAATTATACCCAAACGACACTGAATAAAACGACTAATTGTCTAATTTCTGACGTTTTCGACTAGGCAATAGTAATTTTTTGTTTGTGTTCGACCAATTATACATAGCCTACATAAGTGACCAGATCTATTGCCTGAGTATGGTAGCAAAGCGCAACGGAAAGATTGTGGGGGTTGGGGGCGTTGCTAAGAAATGGAACCGGATGTACTTCACATTCACATTCAAAAACAACATTTCTAAACCAGTGGGAAGTCGTTTTTTTTGGGGGGGGGAAATGTACTATAATATGTAGCTTTGATGATAGAGTTCGTACTTAGGTTAGGTTCCATGTGTAGTCACCTACATCAATTATCTTCATTGTACCTTGCATGGTGTTGCCCGTCTTCATTAGCCCACATGGTGCAGAAAAGTAGGACGTAAAACTGCAATAATTTCATTTACATGCTCCTTTGACAATGGTTCGATAATTATCCAGGTAGCCTATGTTGCTAGAGTCTTCTACAGCCACGTTTACACTGCCATAAAAATTGGCCCAATTTTCTCTGAGGTCAGGGGACGTCACTTACTCTGTCAAGATTTGGTTCTGTTTACTACAGTTATGTTGACCCATAAACGTAAGAGACAAGGGGGGTCCGAAAAAATATCGGGTAACAGCTCGAAAACATGAAAAATACAGGAAAAGTTCATGGAAACATTTCGGACAAACATCTGCCTCTATTGCGACCTTTGATAGAAATGTCATTTAATTTTTTATCGGGAAATAAAGATTCTAGGGAAGTTTGTACAGTGCGAATGAGTGGTCTGTTATTATTATTTTAGAAAGCATGTGGTTCAGATCGAATCATAACAAATCCCACGTGGTTTTAAAATCACGCATGCGTACTGACCTACATTATCCAATTGCGGTAAAAATGGCCGACTCAAGAAAACTGTTATTTATTTGTATATTTTAGTGATAATTCTGTATTTGATCGCTACTATTTTAGTATGAGCTGACAACTGATTAATTTATCCATCGCGCGAGCTACAGGATGAAGGAGATGGTTGGAGGTTGTTGCGTTTGTTCGGACGAACGTGGTTGGACGGAGAATCCGCTAGTATATTGCGATGGTCAAGGGTGTAATGTTGCTGTTCATCAGGGTAAGCTAATTTGACATCGTCCTTTTGAAAAACTACACAGCTTACAATAGTTTTGATCACAGTTTTATAATGTTAAATGAATTTTTTATTCATTTCAGCTTGCTATGGTATCATTCAAGTGCCGAAAGGTCCGTGGTATTGTCGCAAATGCGAGTCTCAAGAACGAGCTGCAAGAGTTGTAAGTCAGCCATTTTTTTCCCTCTCTTAACCGGAAGTTGACATAATCTTGTTTTAATATGTTGTTTTCGGCTTTTAAAACATAGGAGAGTTGGAGTTAAATTCCTAATTGACGAATTTCTGTTGCAAGGAAATGATTTCGTAGATTTTCTAACGTAATTTGTAAACTTTGTTGTCTTTTCCGATAAATTAGTCTGAAGCCAAGGGACGTAACTCCATTTTTTACAAGTTTGTGAAATCGAAAGTGTAACTATAAGGAAATAAAACAATGCTACTAAGGTGGAGTGTATTTCTAATTAGAAACTATTGTGTTTTTTCTAACAGTTTGTCTTTGCATTAGTTATACATATACACTTGTAGGTTTGTTTTGTGCATAGTCGTTGAGAGCTTATCTTTTAAGTGACACTATTTGAAATTGTAATTTTTGTGCCATTTTAGAAATGTGAGTTGTGTCCAATGAAAGATGGAGCATTGAAAAGAACAGATTCAAACAGTAAGTGTGTGTCTTTACTGAACAGTACTAGTACCGGTATTTTTTTTTTTTCACACACTTGAAAATTTTATGGTGGTTATGGAGAACTGCTTGATAGATACAATAACTCCTTCTTGCATTTGTTTCCCTCTGTCAGTGATGCAGGTAAGAGGGAATGACATGGAAAAAGCGTCTAGTTGTTCGGATGGGACAATAAACCGAGGCCCCGTGTGCTACAGGCTGTGCACGTTAAAGATCCCTCGACAGTTGGAAATCAAAAAAGAGGAGGCTAATGCCGCTGTCCTGGCAAAATTTTCCTCATAGCACTCTGCATATAGCGTTGCCCGTCTTCATTAGCCAACAAGGTGCAGAAGAGTAGGACGTAAAACTCCATTCATTTCATTTTTTCTTGCATTTGTTTGGTCAGGCATGAATTGATCTGGTTGTATCTCATGATGTTGACCATTATAGTAGTATCGGGTGTTGTGTGCAAAGCAGACCATGCTTACTCTTTTCGAAACACTTATGGTGCTTGTCTTTAGAGGATTCCACTAATATCAGACTTTTACTCCTGATTTTGCCATACTTTGCATGATATATTTGATCAACGGAATTGTCTTGCTTCTACAGATACGGTATTTATTAAAAAGCTTGTTTTTATAGACCTTTGTGACTATTAAACTATGTTCCTGCTTGATATGACTCTCAAATTAAAATTATCAAATTGTAAATCCATACATCATAAGCTTATAAATTTGTTCATGAATTTAGAAATCAATTATTTATGTTATGTTTAATGCTATCAAACCATTATCGTTCCCTGTTTAAGGTTGGTGCCACGTGGTGTGTGCTCTATTTATTCCTGAAGCTTGGTTTGCCAATGTACAGACGATGGAACCGATAGTTCTAAAAGACGTCCCTCAAGAACGATTCAACAAAGTAGTGGTATGAATGATGATTTGTTTCCAAAGTAAAACTTACCTCTGCCAATGAGTTGACAAGCATGATTCCTTGAATGGAATATTTTATTGCAAAACTAAAATAATCCACTCAAAAATTTTGAATATTTTCACTGATGAAATGGTCCAGTATTTTGAAAATTCACTCTGTATGAACTTTTGTTCCTTTTTATTGGCTTTTATTTTTGATATAGTCGCTTCAGTTAGGGTCTAAAGAAGACCTTCTTCAACATTTGTCAGTAATATGACGCCACCACCATAATGATGTGGGCTATTAGATCATTAATTTTGGTTTTCTCCACTAGAACCCAGTGTTCAAACCCAGCTTGTTCATGTTAATCATCAGATGTTGGTTTGATTCAGGTTTGCTATATTTGTGAAGAACAGGGAAGAGAATCCAAGGCCTCTACCGGTGCCTGTATGCAGTGTAATAAGAATGGTTGTAAACAGTATTTTCATGTCACCTGGTAAGAAGCTTCAGATTTATGAATGTTATTGATGTGTATCAGGGACACTTACATAATAGACAGAATTTAGAAAATCTCTTTACAATCCTTTTATTTCAAATGATATCTGATTTAAACATGCCAGAACTAGGGTTGGGTCAAATGATCGACACAATCGATTATCATCGCTATAATGAATAATTTTGATTATCAATTATCAAATTTAATAACTAATTGTATATCAAAGCTACATTTTCTCCACTGTACCCGTTAACAAGTAGTAATCTCTTCCACATAGGTTCCCTTCAGCACATAACTTACCCACAATAAACTATAATAACATCAAAGCATGAGTATCATACTTCTATGATGCAAATATTGCCCATGAAATTAAGAATTTTGGTATGTTTCTAATTTAGTATTACAGGGTTTCTCAATTAAATTATTCTGATTATTAATCAAATAATCGATCTCAATTTGGTAATCGATACCCAGTCCTAGGCAGAACTCAGTATTTGGAATTATAAAATTTCAGTGCCCAGTCTCAAGGTCTGTTGTGTGAAGAGGCTGGTAACTATGGTGATAATGTCAAATATTGTGGTTACTGTGCCTACCATTGTAAAAAACTGGTAAGTTACCATATTTTAATTTTTGAGATTTCTGTCCACTCCATAGCTGACTGTTATGTGGACATAAGCTACCTTGCATAGGGAGCTGCGGTGGCTCAGTGAGTTCGATGCTTGCTCGCTAAACTGAAGGTCCAGGGTTCAACCCGTGCATAGGTCGAAATGATAAATGATAAGCATCTAGTCTGTGGCTGTGTAAGTTAAAGATCCCTCTACAGTTGGAAATTGAAAAAGAGCAGACTAATGCAGCTGTCCTGGCAAAAATATCCCTCATTGTACCCTGCATGGCATTGCCCTTCTTCATTAGCCCACATAGTACAGAAAATTAGGACGTAAAACTCCATTCATTTCATTTCATTTGCTACCTTGCATAGAAAGGGATTCAAAGTATCTTGTTGGCCTACATTTTTCACTTATAATGATATAAATTGCCCTAATGAAGTTTGTGATACTGACATTATAATCTTGTTAATCTTAAATTATAACAGAGTCGTGGTGGCTCAGTGATTTAGACTCCTGCTCGTCAACCTGAAGGGTCAGGGTTTAATTTCGGCAAATGTCAAAATAATACCTTCTGATTTTTCAACCCGGTTTCCTTTTGTCAGTGGTGCAGGTCGAAGGGACTGACATGGGACAGTGCTACAGGAAAGTTAAAGGTCCCTCGACAGTTGTAGAGTAGGCTAATGCCGCTGTGTTGGCAAAATTCCCTCATTGCACACTGCATGGCGTTGCCCATCTTCATTAGCCCACATGGTGAAGAAAAGTAGTACGTAAAACTACATTCTTTTCATTTGAATTACATGAACCGCTAAAAACAAACAAAATCTTAATGGTTTTGGTTTTTAAAGAAGTCATACTTCTTTTCTAATTTTATTTTTTTATTAATATGGAGGCAACAATTTTTGATATAAAATTTGTATATTTTTAGAAAAGAGACACAAATATTAAAACAATCCCAGCATTCAAACCCATTCCATCAGATACGCCTGATACTTCTCCAGAAAAATCTACACCCAGTAAAACAGACAGCGAGAAAAAGGTATGTACCAGTTTATTTCCAATACATGTTATACTGATGCTGGATTTTATATCCCAAACGTGTCAGCAGCATAAGATAAGCTCTGCCTTTCAAATTCAGTTTGATGTCTTTTGAGGTAAATGCTGCAAGAACATGCTGATTTTTGTTGCCTGAGCAAATCTTGAGTAAAATTTAATGTGCGCCCATGCTTCCATCTGATTATCGACATAGTTGAAAACGACCAACTGGAGATTTTTTGTCTCATCGTGTGCCCGCAGCCTGCAACTTTCGACAAGCTCTACTCAGCAACAAAAATTACCACCCAAGACCATTTGTGTGACGTTAGTTAAATATTTACATGACAGGTTACCTGTAACCTGAAGTTCTTGGTTTTGTTTTTCAGTCAACCTTGGAATCTAAGAAAGTGTTGCAGACGCCACCAAATTGTGGCAACACCACTGATTCCTCGCTGCTCTCTCCAACAGAATTTACTGGTTTTACTACAGCTGATATCAAAGATACTCCTCATAAAATAGAACCCAAGCATGAAAAAGGTAGGCAACATTCATTGAATCTATTCCGAAAAACCTAAGTGGCGCTCTATCGTCTGAGTTGTGAAAAGGTTCTGTCTGGATCTGTGTAGTCATATTTCTTCAATTCAGGAAAATTTCCCGATGCGCAAGCCGGTTATTTCCAGAGATGGCAATATTCCATAAAGAAATAAATGTGGAAATATATTTTTCAAAATGGAATATCTCATTCAAGGCAAGAAATGCAAGAACCACTGTTTGAGTGTATCCCATTGTGACCATTAAAATGTAAAAACTTATACATTTCAGATCAATCTCCCGCATTTTCATCATCCTTTGATAAAACATCTTCACCTTCTGTCTTTCCATCCCATAATTCACCAGATACAGAACACTCTGCTGGCAAAAGGTCAAGGTCGAGGTAAGATCAAGACTATTTGGTGTTTAGACGGGATCAACTTGTCATTAAGCTTCTACAGGAGAGGCCCTAAGAAAGGTTCACGTGGGTGGGGGTTTGTGAGGTGGGAATGAGGTTCTGATTCAAATTCACTTGTTGCGCAGGGCTTTAATGGATAAAGCATTTTTTGAGATTAGTGGTGTCATCAAACACTTTGTTTTAGTGGAATTGCAGGAACCACAGACATCTGACTGAAAATTGGAATGATGCTAAGTGATGCTATCAATGTCCCTGATACATGAAAAACTTTAATAAAATTCTTTACAATCCCTTTAATTTCTTTGCACTTGGTTCCTTTAGGTCTCAAGAAAAGTCGGAAAATAAGAAAAAATTGAAAAAGGTGAAACCTGCAGTTGTGGGAAACAAACGGAACAGTAAAGATGGTATTTCATCAATAACCTTGAGCAGCAGCAAGAAACATTCAATCTCGTCCACAACAGCCTCAGGAGCACCATCAACAGTGTCATCAACATCATCTCACAGTAGCGGGCAGAAACCTAAATCATCAACAATAACTTCATCCACATTAGGGTAAGTATTATCTAATTCTCAAAATATGAAATGTTTTGAGTCACTGATGGGTCGTTGCATGTTCTAACAATATATTAGAGATTAAGGTGGCACTCGATTGGCGAGTTCTGCATGTTTGGGATTCATGGAATCAACTGGACGTTCAATAAAACAAGTTGGAACAGTCAGACGTGTGCAGACAGAATTCAAAATGGCGGAGAAGGAAATAGATGAGGGAAATTTTGAATGTGATATATTGTGCTCCTGTACTGTTTAATTGAGGGTAGAATTGAAACAGACCTGTTCTGCACTCTCCAATCAAGCACTACCCTAAGTATTTTATTTACGTTTGATGGCACAGTTTAAGGTTGAGATTCACAAAATCAGAATTTTTACTGAACTATTCCACTGCCAACGGAACGTGAAAGGTAAGCATAAAGCCAAGGATCGCTGAAATATCTTTTCAGAAGTCCAATAGGTTAATGCTAAATTGAGCATGGCTCTGGGGTAAAGTAAAACATCTGGCTTTTTTTATGCAATTTTTTTCAGAAAATCAAAATGGCTGCTTTTTATTTCAGGAGCCCGAATTTTACCAGCAGTGTTTTTGGTGGAAGCCCATTTTTTCAGAGTTTGTCTGCATCGGGACCAATTTCATTATCACCTTTCAACCAATCAGGTAATCTGTCACTTTGGATGTCTACCAATCAATTTTCAATACATCGATTCAAATTTTGAAATTGTCCAATCGAAAAGAATTTCAAATAATTAGACACCCTCCAATCAGAAGACAGGCTCTAACAATTTTTTAAGTATTTTTTGGTGATTCCTATGTTTGAAATTTTATTTTTTTCTCTAGCCATTGACGGAAGTTTCTCGGCATTGTCTCTGGGTCCCCCTACTCTATCACTGCCCTCTTTTAGGAGAGGTGAGGACAACACTTTCTCTTTTGTGCATGCTTGAAAGGGATGCAAACCTCTAGTTACATAGAAACAGTTTTCATGGTTTGAATTTTGTCTGTACCTACTATAATGTGAAACTCTTTATGAATTCCGTTCTAACTTGTTTTATTGATTGTCAGGTCGATTTTATGAATCCCAAACATTTTGAATTCATCAAACGAGCCACCACCTGTTTTCTATTCATACTGTGACAGCAGGAAAATGGGTTTTGGGATTTGATTTGTTAAATCAAATTCTTCACTTTTGGGATTCAGAACACTATCCACCAGTCTAATGAAAATTTGACCTAACCTCAATTTTTTATTAGCTATTAGCTTTGTACGTAGCCACTACAGTAAGGTCTAACACTGTCCTTCTTGACTTTTCATTCTGTTAACCTTTGCTTGACCTCTGTTTTCACCAATCACGTGGTAGTCCTTTCCTTAATTATCCCGTCGATGGAAAGGACAATCACATGATTGGTTAAAACAGGTCAAGCAAAAGTTAACAGAATGAAAAGTCAAGTAGGATAGTGCTAGACCTTACTGTAGAGGTTGCAATATACATGTGTCGAAAAATTAGTAGGTTCAGACTGAATTCACAATGGTAGAGAAGGAAATTGATTTTGAAAATTTTGAATGTGACATATTCACTTTCGTATGGTTCGATTCGGTCAGAATTGGAACAAACCGAGTCTGTTTAGAACTCACCAATTAAGTGCCATCTTGGAAGAAAATTTAACTGGAGAGTTGTATCCCTTTTGAATAAGTGTAAAATGTCCTACATGTTAGTCCTATATATTTCCCTGTCACAGGAACTGGATGTAGTTTTAGATGTGGAAATTGGTGTAGTATTTGCTAGTTTTATATATCTACATTGTTGGGTCTATTCATTTTTTATTGGTGTATTTTGCTTGACTGTCATGTTGATCCATATTTCCTTATTCAGGCGTTTTGGTTAATTTTTTTAATCCAAAAGTATAAGATAAAAATCTGAAAAAGCAACATTGAATGTTACATGTTTCTGGTGGAAAAAGCAGTCAGGATATTTTTGTCACCAATGTACATTTGTTTTTCTGTTTTGGCTACAGAAACCTTTTGTAGCCTCTTTTACTCAAATCTAATTAATATTAGATTACAATTTTGTTTCGGTTTTTTTTCGTCTGTCTCCTTTGTAATCTAAACAGATTTATACCAAGGTCATGTACTGTTGATGTTCATTTCTACCAATCACAGCGTGTCATGCAGAATCTGTGTCTAAATATTGACTATGAATTGAGGGATAGTGAAACCAAAAGAAGAGCTTTATGACCAATGAGATAATTAGACTGTCGATACTAGCTTGTAAAGGTGATTTTGTTTAACGTGAGAGTGGTTTGTGATGATCAGCTATAAATAGCTTGAAACATGACCAGTACGTGACCTTGGTATTAATTTCATTAGATTACTTGTAGAGGAATCCACAGACCCTAGGGTGAAATTTTAACCAATTAAATTAAACCTTAAAAAAAATGAATCTGCTTATAATGCTGAATTCTGTGATAAACCCAAACTTTTTCATAAGTTATTGTTTTACAAGATCCAAAATAATATTTATGGCTGCGTCTTCTCGAAACCATCTTAGTTCTAGGA